CACACACACACACACACACACACACACACACACACACACACACACACACATATACACACACACACACACACACACACACGCACACACAGACAAAGGTAGCAAATGATGGTGATGTCTTCAAAAATGAGAAGTAAGCCACCGCTTGCTGAAAAAGACGAAGTGAAATGGTGAAGCAGGTTATTCCTCTAACGAAGAGCAACACCACCATTAGATGTTCCACCAACAACTGAATACGACACAATCTTCCCCAAGATTTGTCCTAGGTGGATGGTCGTGCGTTTCCATATCCACCGGCCTTTTCTATTCGGGAAACCCCCACACTACCCGGAAGGTACCGGGCTAGGTGCTTAGAGATGACATGTACGTACGATAGGTGAATGCAGATACAAAAACGTCCATGCACATTACAGGAACCATGTTCGCGAGTGTCGAAATGTGGCTGAATACAGACATAGCTTACAAATACGTTGAGAAAATTAATGCCGTCCGTATTGGAGGCTCAAAACACTCTAGCAATGGCGCAATATCACCCCCTGCCTAAAAAAAAAGTATATATTGCGTTGTTGCTACAGTGAATGGGTTCGTATAAAAAGAATAAGAGGCTCGCCTCATAGCCTTTCGAAACGTGCAAAATCGACGCAGCATTTTCGCCACGCAGGCTTTCGAAACAAGTGACATCGAAAATGTTCCGAAATATGTCAAATAGTTCCGCTTCGAAAGTCGTTTTGAAGGAGCGTGATTCTCCCTCATGTCACGAGCGTTTCTTTAAACCACTAGTACGTGGCCCAGCTATGGCCCGCGAGCGTTGCCGAGCTCATCGGCTCCCGCCTTTTTGCGCAAAGGCGAGAGCCCTCCCGACCATTCATCTCGGGTCGTGGCCCCATACACGGCGCACCTTTTTTTTCCGCCTACTTAGGCCCTCAATCGTGCGGCTTAGCAATCGGGCGACATTATTTTAGGTAAAATAAGTCTAGTTTTACCATTCCCATGTCCGCACATTCCTGCGGTTTCGACAAAAGCGAAGCATTGTCGTTCGCATTCGTTACTCCCGGACACTACACGAGCCCGGACTAAAGTTCAAGAACTTATAGTTTCTCAGTCATAGGTCAGGTCTAAATAACTTTTGGCAAACGTAAGTCTCATCAAGTCCATCTAATCAACGAAAGAGCCGGACAACATCCGACGTTGGAAAACCCCGGCAAATACCCTTGTCAGGGTATTTGCCCCGACAATATT